CCTCCAAGGCAGGCTTTGCTTTCATAAAAGCCAAGGATGGAAGGAAAATAACACCATCTTCTAGAGGAAGAGACTCCTGTGGTCTGCCACCTTCCTAATATGGCTAATCACATGGAGGATCAGCAGGCAAGGCACCAGGTATTTTCATTTTCCTTATTTCGAGAGATTTGTGTTGCTGTTTCATAGTCTAGAAATACCGCATCTGCCAGCCGACGTTTCTCCCTGATCACTCTCATCATATCAGCTGCTGTGTTGTCCTCTCCAGATTTTTTATTTTATTATTATGCTTAAATATAAATGAAAGGTCAGGTAATACTTTCCATAGTCCATAATAGGATTGCGCCTGGAAGAATCTTAGAAAAAAAAATATCTTCAAGACACTGGCTTGAAATAAAACAAAAGCATCTCAAAAACATTTTTTTTTTTCTCGTTGAGAAAAGCAAACCGGAAAATCTCAGAATGGCGATTTGCTATCTTCTCTAACCAGCCGCCCCCCTCCTCCCCGCGCTCCGCGCCGCCAAATCAGCGAGAGATCATTTCCCTCCATGCCAGACACTGAAAAATGCTCAGGAGGCACTGGCGGGTCTCTTGGCACATTTCCTAAGCCCAGGGGACTCTGTGCTGCCATCTACTGGCAGACCTTAGATACAGCAAGCTGGCTGCTGGAATCCTGTTTGAACTTGGCTGCGCCGGAGCTGTGGTTTGGCTCCCGTCCCTATAGAGCTTTGTTGCCAGCTATGTAAGTTTTTTTCTTTATTACTCCCTATGCCCCTCTTTTCTTTTTGTTTGTTGGCACTTCATTTCATGTGCCCCCAGAGGCTGTGTTTTGAATTTTGATATATTTGGTCTTTCTGAAAGGAGGCAATAGTGCAAACAGATGCCTTTGACAACAGGTAAATCACAGGCTGGCTGACCCTAGAAAGTGGTAAACATGGAGAGACGGAGACTGAGAATGAAAAATGTGATGGCGTTTATTACTCGTAGGCACTGGCTAGGTTGGTTTTTAAGAATGTTCTGACATTTTCCTCCAGAGCATTTTTACCACCATTTCTGTGGCTTAGATTTGGGGAGACTCAAACTCAGGTTGGAATCTTGGGGAAAATTTGCTTGGGGATGTCAGTCTGGCTGTCAGAGGTGTGATAGGCATAGATACCTATCAATATACAAAATAGTGCATCTTTCCTTGTTACCAGAAAACAGCTGGTGTTTGTAGACCTTCCCGTGGTTGGTGATGACACAGCTCTTTGGAGCTATTCAGCTCTTGTTAGAGAGCTCATTTCACATATGTGGAACCACCTGGAAGGTATTAATCTCTCCTGGGGCCTTAGGACTATGACATTCTTTAGTTCTTGTGTGTATCCTGCATGCTGGGAAGTAGCAAAGTGCAGCATTTAAGCACGTGCCTTTGGAGTCGGACCTCTATTTGTATTCCAGATCTTCCTCTTGTGTGACCTGGGCAAGTTTACTAATGTTGGTTCCTCATCTGTAAAATGGGGATGATGTGGATTTTTTTTGTGAAATAATGCATATACTATTCTTAGCACAGAGCCTGATACATAGAAAGTGTTCAGTAAGTGTGAGTCAGTGTCAGAAAATATTTTGTGAATGAAAACGTGAACCAAATGAGCCAAGACCTTGAGTAAGAGCAGAGGACACTTGGTGCACGTGGGGATGAGGCGGCCAGTGGAGAGGGAGTCCTGAAGACACGGCTTCGCGTGTGCCCCTTCTCACCAGAGCTGCTGGCTTGAAGACTAGTGTTTTTGTCTCTTGACAAAATCAGGGAAAGCAAAGCGAGTGGTCTTAATTAACCTGTGCTTGAATTTACTTGGTAGCTGCTGGGCTCAATTAAGAAGATGGAGGAATCAGCCTCTCACCAGCGATTCTCTGCAGTTTTTCTTTCTTTCTTTGAGGACCTGGGATTCTGAGCTTGTGCTCTATATCCATGCAACCAGGCAGCTGGGAAATGATCAGGTCTGGCAGCTCTGTACCAGCATGACCCTTGGTAGATATAAAAAAACTCCAAGTGTTATCAGAAGGGGGAAAAAAACCTCACTAAACCTACAGCTAAGGTTTAGGTTTATTTCTCTCTGTGCGAGTGTGTGTGTGTGTGTGTGTGAGTACACAAAAAATTCCAGAAGTGAATCTACAAGTCATCTGGTTGAAATAAATTTTCTGCTGAACTATAATTACCAGCTATTTATTATGGATCTTGGGATCTTGCTATGGATTTTGATTGGCTGCTAGGTTTCTAATTTAGCAAAGAATTCCTATATGTAAGAGACTGTGTGTCTTCCTATACATTAGACCCCAAATTTTGATTTTACACCCACTCTGACTACTGTTAGAGTTTTTACTTCCTTGTGTCTGAGGAGTCTTCCTTTCAGAGAGGAGATACACTTGGGGGTTGGGGGGTGGCTTTTCCTTAAGGCTGCAGCCAGCTTTGCTGAATGCATAAAGCCGAGGTAACAGATGCTCTGAGGTAATGCCCTGGGTGGGGCAGCTGGTATCAAACTATGGCTTTGAGTAACTGCACTTTGCAAAGCTAAGTCACTGTTCATAATGCCAAGCAGCATAGACACCTGATCGTTGTTCTAGATTACTTTGGTGGTGGCAAAAGGGCACTATTAATTTTTAAGGATGTACCTCTTTAATTTGAATTGTGACTATAACTATGTATTATGTTTGTATTTAAGAAAAAAATATGAACATAACTCAAAGGGCCATGACTTACAGTGAGTCATGATGCCACCATTATTATGAAAAAGAGAGGGTGAGGGAAGGAGAGTTGCAGGGCTCGGAGCCAGGATACCTGGGTTCATGTTGCAGGCAGCCGTTCACTCCGGGACTGTGGACAGCTCCCGAGCCCACCTCAGCCCCACTGGTACTAAGAACGCTCCCCGCACAGTGGTGGTTCTCAGCCTGGGCTGCACACTGGAATTACCTGGGGAGCCTGGTCCTGAGATAAATCAGATCTGAGCTTCAGGGAATGGGAGACAGTGCCAGGCTTTGTTAAGAACTGCACACGGGTTCTGATTAGCAGGCAAGGGTGAGGATCACTGCTAGCCCTATGAGAACCTTTATCACATAACACACACCAAAAAGGGGGAAAGAAAAGGAGACTGGATTACTCAGGTCAGCCACACCTTACAATCAGACACCAATAACCAATAAACGAAGAAATAGAAGGTCTGCACACCAGCCCTGCAGGAGTGGGTACAGTGCTGAGAACTGATGCTCGCTCTTTGAGTGGCCAGGCAGGTGTTGGGACGGCCCCATCAGTGTGTTTACCACATTGGCCTCGGTAATGATGGCCATTTTCTACGTGGGGGCATTTGAGCAGCACCGATCGGGGTGGGCTCATTATTCCCATGCTTCAGTGGCCTTGAAAAGCCATCAGCGCAGTGAGACAACAAGACTGTGTAGAAATAGAGCTGTTGGAATGGCGAGGCTCACCTGTGCCCAGGCTCCATATACCTTACTCTGGGGGAGGAGTGATTGGTGAGTTGGAGGGAGTGGGGTTCTGGGACTCTTGGAGGTTCTGCTCATTCAAAAAGGGAGGAGATGACAATTTGGACTCATTTTAGAATCATTTTAGCCCCTGGGAACATCTTGAGGGGCTCTGCAACTCCTAGGGAATTGGAGGGCAGCACAGAAGGTGACATGTTTTATCTGAGAACTGCTTTAGAGCTAGAATTTGGTGTATGGGCTCAGCTTGGCCCCCAGGTCCCCAACACACACACACACACACACACACACACACACACTTAAACACTTTCACACCCCTCACCCCCTCACACCCCTTCTTGGTGCTTGAATAGAAGTGGGGAGATCTTCCTTATTCTTGACATTGAAGCATACTGGTTACACTTGTGAATCTTCCCAAGGTCATTGCCAGGGCTGAGTCAGGATTTCTCCTGCACATATTCCAGGAGGGTTCTGAATTCATCTCGAGGTCAGAGGGCTGGTCAGTTGCTCCTCTCTGATCTTTCCCTAAATCAGGCAATGAATGTGGCCATCCCAGCCTTAACTCAGGGTAGGACGTGGGCATTGTACACATTTGTGAGCTCAATATTGAAATCCACCTCTGCCACTGCAAAGCTGTATGATCTTGAAAAAGTCATAGACCTTCTCTGAACAGCAGTTTTCCTGCTTATAAACAAGAGATAGTGATAATACTTATCTCACAGCATTTTAATAGGAATGAAAGCAACAGCACCTAGCATTTACTAGAACCTTGTTACAGCTCCAATCTCGTTGAAGTGTTGTGACATAGTATTTTTGGTTCATGTGCATCCTGTTCTCCAAACAGGTATATGCATCATATTTGGATCTTCTTGAAGTCATTTTAATAGCTAACTTTTCAGGATAAAACCAAAGATGCAAATGCTCACCACACTGTCATTAGCATAAGTGCTAGTATAATGCAGCTGTCCCACAGCTATAAAACACTGACTCCTGTGTCTCTGCTTGGCATAGGGAATATTATCTTTTCTCTTACTGAGCCGATTCAATACTCAACTTTGTCATTATTTGAGTTGGAACTTTAGATTGCTGCATTTTAATGCACTCTACTATTAAGGATTGTTGGACGGCCGTGTGCAAATATTTTTGTTCTCACGATGCAGTCCTAGCCCAGGTAGCCCAATGGGCAAAATATGATTTACACAAATATTATCATTTCTATAGTGTGTACTAAAAAGAAACCTTAGAGCAGGGCGGGAGAAAGCCTCTCTCTCTCTCGGAGTTCGGTTATCTAGGTTAAATTGGCTGGTAAAGAAGGGACTTTTCATCCCCTTTCATCTGCCCCTAATCTCAGTCTATTCCTGGAAGGATATTTTTGTTCCAGAAAGAGCAAAATCTCATTTGCTATCACAGAGTTTTCTCACCAAGATGAAGGCAAGATTGGAAGAGGGAAGCTAGGAAAACCTCAGCCATGTGGTAGGATTCTGGGGATTCTGTTTTGAAGTTGATTTCAAATGTTTCTTGTCCTTTTTGCCTAGAACAAGGAAGTGACCTGTAAGAGAGAGAAGTGCCCAGTGCTGTCGAGAGACTGTGCCCTGGCCATCAAGCAGAGGGGAGCCTGTTGTGAGCGGTGCAAAGGTAATTTATGTCTTGGCTGCCTTTTCTGGCTGTTCCTGCAGGCATTTTAATTTCTCTTTCTCTCACCTTTCTCTTCACTCAGCTCTTGGCTTGGGTGCAAGTGGGTGTTGGGAGGGAAGCTGCTGTGTGTGTGAGTGTTGGGGGGTTGGTAGTAAGGGGCGTCCTCCTAGTGGGGGATGAAAGTATGGCGAGCATCTACATCGTTGGTTTATTTTCTGAGGCAAGCTGTTAAAATGCCACAGAAGAGATGTAAACATGATGCCTCTGCAGGTTGGTACACACGCACGCAAGCCTGTTCTGTCATGAAGTTTCAACACTCAGTTTTTCGAGGCTCTACGCTCGCCCTGCCCACCTCTGCCAGAGGAGTCTTTTAGACCAATTTTTATCATTTTGGTCCCTATTAAAGTTGTTTCTTTCCTTCCAAATGAAATCTAAGTCCTTCCCTTTGTCTTTGAAGCATCTCTAAAACGCATCTCTAATCTCTTACTCCACCCCCATCTCCTGTGGCCCTCCGGCACGCCTGTCTCTTTCAAACACACTGTTCTAGGTTGCCTCTGCCTTAGCTCAGGTCTCTCCCCCAACCTGCCCAGATGCTGCCTGTGCTCAAGGTCGCCCAGCCCTCATCCGTCACTTTCCTGGTTAAGTTTCCATGGCATCCAGAAGTTCACACAGATACTTCAGTGATGTGCGTTTTCATTGTCTTGTTTGCATTCAGTAGACCCTCAGCTCCTCAGGACAGGAGCCAGGTCACGCTCTGATGTCACCTAGTGTATGTCAGTGTATGCAGTGTGGTCCCCCAGAGGTCAAAATGAGCACAGTGGTTCAGGATGTGGGCTCCGGAGTCACACTGCCAAGTCCAAATCCAACAGTCCTGGGTTACAAAGAGATTTCTCACCCTGAAGATGCATCCTGGGTCACAGAGTGTTCCCCAAAAGTTCATGTCCATTAGGAACCTCAGAATGTGACCTTAATTGGAAATGGGATCTTTGGAGATGTAATTACTTAAGATAAGGTCATACTGGATTAGGGTGGCTGCAAATCCAATATGACTGGTGTCTTTATATGAAGAGCAGACAGAGACACACAGAGAAGGTGGCTGTATAACAAGAGGGGCAGGTATAGATGCCTGGGCTCTGTTGCTGAGATTCAGATTCACTTGCCCTGGGGCGGGGGGCTAAGGCATCTGTCTTTTGAAGAAGCTCCCAGGAGATTTAATGTGCAGCCTGGGTGGGAACCTCTGAAAGAGATCTTGACCAGGTGATTTCTACCCCCACAGAAGAATATCCTTTTTTGGAGCTGCAAAGGGGAGGCTCCCTTCTGTAGAGCTCTCAAAAGGAGCTCCATAGAAACCAGGTAAACTAAAGCGCCATTTCTAGTGATAACCCACAAGTCTCTATGCTCAAGGAGGACTTTGAACTTTTCAACGCACACTATTATATGAAATCCACACATCAAGGATTAATGCCAAGTTGTTTGTGAGTAACTATAGTTATTGTAGTTACTATTTATAGACTTAAACTATAACGTTTAAGTCTATAAATAAATAAGAGGCAGAGGTTGGAGTTGTGTTGCCTCAAGCCAAGGAATGCCTCGGGTTACCAGGAGCTGGGAAAAGGCCAGGAGGGTTCTTCCCTAGAAGCTTCAGATGGAGCATGGCCCTGCCAACACCTTGATTTTGGACTTCTACTTTACAGAACTGTGAGAGAATAATACATTTCTGTTGTCTTAAGCCTCCAAGCTGGTGGTAATTTGTCACAGCAGCCTGAGAAACTAATACCCCAACGTTTTCACTTGAGCAGGTAGAGACATGGAACATCTTTCTACCCGAGTTCCCTCTCTTGTTAAATGAGGATAATAATTGTGTCGGAGGGAGCTAATGGCGAGACACAGTCAATGTGTTTAGCAAAGTGCCTGGCAGTTAATATAATATAGTAGGTGCTCTGTAAATACCTGATGGACTTGACTATAAAAATGCGTCTTCCAAAGCCTTTTGGAGCAGGAGAAATTAACCATTTACTTCTCACTTTCCTACGGAGTTGGGAGGCACATGTTTTACTCACGTGACTTCTGAGAGCTATTGATGCAAGACCTGAAATAGTAACTTCTTAGGAGTCTCCCAAGCTGATGGTCAGATAAAGTAATTACAGTTAAGAATACATTACTGGGACTTCCCTGGTGGTCCAGTGGTAAAGAATCCGGCTTCCAATGCAGCAGTCGTGGGTTCGATCCCTGGTGGGGGAACTAAGATCCCATGTGCCTCGGGGCAGCTAAACCTTCGCACCACGACTACTGAGCTTGTCCGCTTCAACAAGAGAGCCCATGTGCCGCAAACGACAGTGCCCAGGTGCCCTGGAGTCTGCAGGCCACAACTAGAGAGAGAAAACAACAACAACAACAACGACAAAACCTGCACGCCACAACTAGAAAGAAGCCCGCGCGCTGCAACGGAAGATCCCGCACGCCTCACCAAAGATCCCACGTGCCGCAACTCAGACCTGATGCAGCCAAAATAACTAAATAAATAAAATTAAATTAAAAAAAGAAAAGAATACATTACTGAGCCAATGTGTGTCTACGTTATTGTTGATTCACCTTAAAGAACCTCTTCTATTTAATTCTTTATTTTTTTTACGGCTGATTTGCCATCTTCATCTTGCAAGGCTGCCTCGCCAGTGAGAGATGAGTTGGATGCTACAGGGCGGAAGCAGAATGTGTGAAGGAACCATGCCCGAGGCATTAGGTTCATTTCCAGTTAACCGTAGTACAGGAGGGCACTTTGGGTTGCTGTAGTGTGTAACCCACTTTCCTTCTTGTCCTGCTGTTTCCTTTATCATCATTCTTTCCTTTGATCATCCTAATCTTCCAAGGGAAAATGATACTTGTGGCAAATACATTTCATGAGTATTCTTTTTGAGCTTAAGATGATAAAGTCTCTTCAAATTAAACTGGACCCGAGAATAGACCAGTGAATTCAGCGCCCCGAGTGCTCTTTCTGACAGTAAAGTCCAGGCCTTTTGGGGGAGATCAAAATCCCCAGCCTGCCCTGAGGTGGACCTTCCTGAGAAAGACTCCTGAAAAGTGCTGACTTGTCAGGCTGTAGAGGGGGCTCTTAAGATGCCCCCTTCATTTTCTCTATTTCTACTCCGTAATACAATTTTTGTCTCCTGTGTTTTAAGGGACACAGTTGTATTTGCACTGGTTTATTTATGTTTTTCTGATTAGAATAGTTACATATGCTCATAGAAGAAGCTTTTAAAAATAGGCTAAGGGCTTCCCTGGTGGCGCAGTAGTTGAGAGTCTGCCTGCCGATGCAGTGGACATGGGTTCGTGCCCCGGTCCGGGAGGATCCCACATGCCGCGGAGCGGCTGGGCCCGTGAGCCATGGCCGCTGAGCCTGCGCGTCCGGAGCCTGTGCTCCGCAATGGGAGAAGTCAAAACAGTGAGAGGCCCGCGTACCACAAAAGAAAAAAAGGCTAAACTGTGGAAAAGCAGAAAATAAATTACTCATGATCCCACCACCCAGTTAACTATTTAATTAACTATTAGTTAATATTCGATATATATTTTCTGCATTTTTTTCCCCATGTCGAAGTGTTTACCTAGTTGATATCTTACTATTGAATTGTGTTATTGGTTTTTGTTTTTGCTTTTTTTTGTTCTTCTCCCACTTAACATCAGGGCATAACATCTTCTCAACTTGTTTGGAAATACTGTCCTTAATGGGCACATAAGATTCTGCGTGGGAACGTACCAACATTCATTGGGTCATTTCTCCATTCCTGGGCATTTAGGTTATACCCTGGATTTTAGCACTGGGCAAGGGTAAGTACAAGAAGCTGAGACCAAAGAACGTGTGCAGTAAAGGAATAACGACCAAAAAGGGAGGATTACCTCCCTTTTTGGGAGCATTACCTGGGTAGAGAGGAGATCTTGGTGTGAACCCAGAAACCACTCTGGATTTGGCCTTCCAAGGAATCTGGGTAAACCTCTCCTCCCCATCTCGTGTCCTCTGATCACACAGTGGAACAAGGACAGCAACAAATCCTCAGTGTGGTGCAGATACTCTGAGACAACCGCGGCAGCTGTGCTTCTCCTAAGTCCTCTTCCAACGGGCGTGCTCTGTGCTAACACTGGAGGTTTTAACTTTTACTTAGAATGATTCAGTGAGGAGTCATAGTAATGAGGAGTTTGTTGATAATACTTTATTTTAGAGCAGAATGATGTCCAGGCAAGATTATCTCAGGGTCAATTTTGTTTGTTTTTTTTGCGGTCGACGCATACATTTGACTGTGCTAAATCTGTAACATGAAGCCCATTTTACAGATGAGGAACTGCCTTAACGATTTGCACTAAGTCACAAAAAGTTTGCAATGGCTAGCCAGGACTCACACCCTGTTCCTACAGACCTGGGGCCCTGTGCCTGGCAGGGGAAGGGCCTAGAACACCCGCGGGCGCTCCCGATCCACAGCCACCGCTGCTCTTGCTCTCGGGGACCCCGTGCCGCGCTGGCAGCGACCAGCGCCGACCGGTAGGAGGAGGAGGGAGGCGGGATGCAGGACATCCGCCGGGGCCACACCGACTTCCTCCCGCCACTCCGGGGCTCCTCCCACCAGGGCTTCCCGCCTCCGGAACCAAGCCCCCTTCTCTGCTTCCGGGGTGGGTCCGGGAAGCAGATTCAGGGCGTTGAAGGGACCTCAAAGCCCCTCCGGCCAGTTAACGCAGGGTGACAGGAGAGCTGATGGACTTAATTCTCCTGTATTTTGAAAGTCATTTGCATTAAGAGGTACCCCCTTATGCTGTTTTTAAAGCTGATCACCAGACAGATCCGGCATCTTGTAAAGGTGAGCACAGCACGTACCTAACCTGGCAGAATGGGTGAAGGGTGTGGGTCTAACAGGCTTCCCAGCAAAGACACGCCTAATAGAAAACCTTTCTACCATCAGCAGGCACACAACCGGATGGAACAATAGTCCAAGCCAGTTGCTTTGAGTTTCCCTGGA